AGACATTCCGTTTGGTTAACATTACACTAAAGCCCGCCATAGAGCATTGCACCTGCTAGTCTTTCAGGTAGAAATGGTATTGTTTCTGCCGAAGCCTCTCAGGCTCTGCGGCATCTCCGGTGACGGCAAAAGAAGATGTATAATTATGGTATAAGCAGCAGACTCAGAAGTGTATATTATGTATAATTATTCCCTGCGTTGTTTACAGAGAGACTGCAGTCTGCTTTAACCCCTGCTGAAGCGGTACATTGTGGGAAAGCCAGAAGGAGCGGTTGATAGAGAACCGGTTATCTATGACAGCCAAGGCTGTTGTCTGGCTTGCCTGGTGGTCTACGTTGGGTGGGTATGTTCTGAGGGCAACGCTGGACAGATTCCAGGGTTAGTTTTAGAAGAGCTCCTACTATAGGGCTCTCTGGTGGAAGGTTGGGACCATAGGTGGGTCGTGGGTTGCTCAGGTCCTGGAGAAACTGGACACGTTGCTGGTTCCTCAGACTGATGGTGTGTGTGGTCCTTCAAGTTCTGGGGCAGGTAGGTGTCATGTTACAGAGAGAGAGGGGTGATAATATCAATGGATGAGAAGCTTGTGGTTGGTAGAGAACACATTTGTTAGCACGCATAGCACCGAGATGGTTGGTGTTTCTTCTGACGATCTGTAACTATATGTTCCAGCATGGCTTGACGGCTATGTATTAGACCAGTAAGTCCAAAATGTATATTATGTGAAGGTGCAGAAGTATAACAAGAGATGACTGGACCTGATATTTTCATTATATGGCCTCTGGTTGGCCAACTTCCACCATTAGGCCAAGTTTGCACCACATCCAGATCACCTCCAGACCAGACCAGATTGTTCCCGGGCCCAAAATGCACCCTAATGTATCCCTATGCTATCTCTGGCCTCTGTTCACACCAGCGCAGTCTGTTCCAGACCAGACCAGAAAAATACTGCTTGTCTCATTTTTTCTGGCCTGTAATGCACTGGAACTGCGGGCAGGTTCACACCATATCCAGTCCGGAAAATGGTGTGAACCTGCCCTAAACATGTTTTTAGGTCTTGGGAATGGTTGGGACCCCTGCCAAGATTTGTTTTTTTCACTGTGTGTTTCCTGTCAGAGGATTTTCCTGTACTTCCTGTTCCAGAGACACAATGGGGGAGTAAGTGGGCAATCCCCTCACTGGAACAGGGGTACCTACCAGAAGATTGTCCTTCACCTTCTGGTCTACTAAAATTGTGGTTTCCCTTCACCTTCTGTACCAAGACAATGGACAACAGGACCATTCCACAGAGAAGGAGAATCTTTCCAGAGGGGACTCAGACAGCAACACTTATTCATTCTACCCCCACTTACCTCCATCTGTCCCCCCCGGAAAAAAACAAGCCCCCTAAAAATTTGGCTTTGCTTACACTTTAAATGTCAGTGCCACACCTAGATTTCTTTTTTGCATGGCTGATAACCAGTTGAATCATTTGATGTCTCCTTACATCCTTGAGGAACTGTCAGTGTCAAGATATCTCCACTAGAATGCCCAGCTGACCCATCAGCCTTGCCCACCACAAAGCCACATGATGCCTTAACCCTCCTCCAACAGGTTCTTCATAACTGCACAAGCCCCTATCTAGTATCTAATGATGGACCTGGTTAGATCTCAGGAAGTACCCAGTCAACACTCTGATTGCGATGGTCAGCTTTCAACCTTCACCATCTGATGGCCATTACTGACCACTGCAGCTCAGATCTCTGCTGTGCACACCTGACCACATTAGTGGATTTCGAAAAGCGAGCTCAGAACCCCAAGCCTACGTCGGATCAATAGGTTTGTCTGCTCCGGATAGAGGTCTCTGACTCTTGGCGTGTCCTGCCTTGGATTGTCCCTATGAATTGTTTGCACTGTCCATTGGGTTGTCACATCTGCCGTTGTCAGTCATTGCTCGGTCTGGAACCTGGATTCTGTTTGCTTGTGTCTGACCTGGCCATCAGTCTACTGACTGATTCTTGTGTCTGAGGACCACTCTGCATCCGCCTTGCATGTTGCCTGGCAACACCGAGAGTCTACCAAACCCTATAAAACTGCTCCCCCTAAACCAGACATCTAGAATATTTAGATGTAACCCTTGGGAGGGGGGGCAGGTGTGCTCCATCTCCCCCAACACTAGGAGCAATAACTGCTGCAATAATTCATTTTAGTAATTCTTTCTCATGTGAATAAGTGTTATAGGCGAGAGAACCTCATATGTAATTGTGTTATCTGTGTGCTGCTTCCTCTTAGCCCTGCGAATGTAACTATTGCTCGATCAAGCTCGTTCTTCCCGTTCTGCGGACAATTACGTTTCACTTGCCTCCGGTATTCTTAAATACAGCAAATTCCATCTGATTATTATATTACTCGCTACCATCTGTGCTGGCGGGCTAATCAATGAAGCTAATATCTTACTTCCTCCTGCTGAGCCTACACACTGGCGCTTGTCATGTATGCCCTAGCTCCGAGAACCGGATGCAATCCTGAGACATAAGACCAAGCGGGTATTTTTATACCAGGGAAAGGCATCTTAGAGGACATCTAATTAAAGGTGGACCTGCTCTCAGATGTTAACATGAAATTCACCGTCTTGCTGCGAGGGATGAGTGAAGGATAATGGAAGAGTTGGAGAAAAGGCTGCTCGAGACTCCCTCCAGTACTACATGTCCAAGGCCTCAGCAGGGCCAGATTAACAAGGGGGCTACTGAAGCACCTGGCCGGCCTGGATCGCCTTGGTATACCCAAAGGCAATCTGGGCCAGCTGGACTGAACACAATCAAGGGCTGCGAGGAGCGAGTGGCCGCCTAATAAGAGAGCCGCTCGACCGACAGCAACAGGCCTATGATGCTCTTGATCTGTCCCTGGCAGGGCCGGATTAACATAGAGGCTACTGGAGAGCCAAGTCCAGGCCCACAACTGGAAATAGGCCCAGCTGGCCTGGATCGCCTTGGTATGCCCAATGGTAATTGGGACCAGCCGGACTGAACACAATCAGGCAGGTCTTATTAGGTGGCTGCGAGGGGCCGCCTAATAAGAGAGCCACCCGACTGACAGCACCAGGCCTATGATGCTCTAAATCTTGCCCTGGCAGAGCTGGAATAACATAAAGGCTACTAGCGTGCCAGCTCCAGGCCCATCACTGAAAATAGGCCCACTTGGCCTGGAGCGCCATGGCATGCCCGATGGCAATCTGGGCCAGCCGGACTGAACACAATCAGGCAGGTCATATTAGTTGGCTGTGAGGAGCGAGTGTTAATCTGGCCCTGGCAGGGGCGGATTAACATAGGGGCTACTGGCACGCGTGCGCCAGGCCCACCATTGAAAATATGCCCACTTGGCCTTGATCGCCTTGGAACGCCCGATAGCAATCTGGGCCTTTCGGTCTTATTAGGTGGCTGCGAGGAGTGAGTGGCCGCCTAATTAGAGAGCCACCCGACCGACAGCACCAGGCCTATGATGCTCTTAATCTGGCCCTGGAAGGGCCGGACTAACATCGGGGCTACTGGAGCGCCAGCTCCAGGCCCACCACTGAAAATAGGCCCAGCTGGCCTTATCGCCTTGGTATGCCCAATGGCAATGGGCCAGCCGGACTGAACACAATCAGGCAAATATTAGGTGGCTGCAAGGAGCGAGTGTTAATCTGGCTCCGGCAGGGCCAGGTTAACATAGGGGGCGTGCTCCAGGCCCACCATTGAAAATAGGCCCACTTGGCCTGGATCGCCTTGGTATGGCCGATGGCAATCTGGGCCAGCCGGACTGAACACAATCATATTAGGCGGGTGCGAGGAACGAGCGGCCACCTAATTGGAGAGCACCAGGCCTATGATGCTCTTTTAATCTGGCCCTGTGCCTCAGCATATGGGTCAAAAATCTTCAAGGGGAAGATCGGGGGTTTAAAAAAGTTGACCGTCCTTAAAGCAGAAATCACAAGACCAAACCTGCACCCCTGTGGTCAGCACTGATGGGAGCTTAGAGCAGCATTTTCACCCTTCCATTTACTTTTATGTATTCATCTCAGCTCACGCCTTGGCTCTACGTTACCATTTGTCTAATGAACCCTATTGAAATGCCGGGTTCCATCAGAGGTCAATCGAAAAGAACCATTTAATGAGCTTCGCCTGGTTTTTGGTTTGCTGGGAACGGTGAAAGCAAAACCACAAATGAAAAAGAAAACACACACACGCGCGGTTTTTGATGTTACTGATTTTTTGGTTTTCTTATCAGTTGCACATTGCGGGAAGAAGATCACAGTAGACAAACATTTAAGACCTTACGAGTGATGCTGGAGTTTTTTTTGCCTTGGGTTCTTTGACCAGCGGGCGACCACATTTTTATTTTATTTGACATGACATCAAAATGTTGGGCCGATATCGAAATGTCCAAGAATCAAAGTCCACATTTTTATTTTTTTTTGCCCACTTTGGAGACGACGGGACGTGAGATGAGATCGGTTGAGGAGACATCACTTCTCGAATGTGAGTTGACATGCTACTGTGATTGGCAACTTTCCCTCATCTGTTACACATCAATAATTGCCAACAAGACCGGAGTACGGTGGAATCCGAAGCGTCGGTTATTTCCGCGTCCTGTGTTGGCGACAGATCGGTAGATTCGGTTGGCTTTTTTTTTTCCAAATGATTGGACTCGTGGAATCAAGTCCTCAACCTGCACTCGGTGACTGTTGAGCGTTTGGACGAGAGTTGCAGGTTAGTAGGAACTCTAAACTATCGTCAATGGATGACCAGAAAAAGGTCTTGAAAACATTTTTGTTTTTCTTTCGGGCCTGCTTGAACCAAGCAATTTTTTGGGATAAAAAGTCTATTTTGATAATCTTAAGACTTTACGGAGATAAAAAAAAAAAAAAGGTTTCCGGTTGACCAGAAAAATCTTCTCTGGTTCTCGCGGGGCTTTTGAAGAAAGGCATCTCATTGGATGTCCTTTGTCTACAGCCCCAGGATCCCAAATTTTCGGTGGGTTTTTTTTGTGTGTTTTTTTAAAGGGTGTTGACGATCGGTGTTAAGAGGTTTAAAGATTTAAATTAAGAATCAAGAATTCATATAAAAATATGTTGGTACTAAAGTCAGACTTTGACATTTGAATATATAAACTAGTTAGATGCTAACGACTTTATCGATGACCGTTTAGTCATCGTCATCATCATCATCGTCATCATCGTCGTCATCATCATCGTCGTCATCATCGTCATCATCATCATCGTCGTCATCATCATCGTCGTCATCATCATCGTCGTCATCATCATCGTCGTCATCGTCATCATCATCGTCGTCATCATCTTCAGTGTTGATATCACCGTCAAGAACATCTTCAATCCAGTCTTCCAGTTCGTCCACAGTAGGCAGGTCCTCTTCATCATCCATGTCCATCCAAACACTATCAGCCTGCGGGAGGAACAAAGGATTCTGTTAGCTTTCAAAAAGTTGAGTAGTTTTCTGAACACCCTCTTAAAGCCGAACTCTAGGAATCCTTTTTCGTGTGTCCACATCACTGCCGAGGTGACATGGACCCTTCCTGTTAGCTGTCCATAGTCAGAGTGCTCTAAGGGTTATTTTATGAACTAGATCTTTACATAGGAGTTGGCGGGATTCTTGGCCAAGAGTTGGGTCTTCACTAGCCAAGAATCCCACCAGTTGGGTCTCCACTGGTTTAGGGCATCCTTTCTGCAGGACTCTGCAGGCCTCCCATGTGACAATGTTGACATCTTGGACTGAGTCACCCGCTCCCCATACCCTGAAGTACCAGGTATATTCACTGCTGAGGTGACATGGACACTTCCTATCAGCTGTCCAACGTCAGGGTCCTCTAAGGCTGTTTTCTGAACTAGATCTTTCCATAGGGGTTGGCGGGATTCTTGGCCAAGAGTTGGATCTCCATTGGCCAAGAATCCCACCAGTTGGGTCTCCACTGGCTTAGGGCATCCTTTCTCCCGGCCTCCCATGTGACAATGTTGACATCTTGGAGTGAGTCATGGGAGCAAGGGGTCTGAGTCACATGCTCCCCATACCCTGAAGTACCAGGTCTATTCACTGCTGAGGTGACATGGACCCTTCCTATTAGCTGTCCATAGTCAGGGTCCTCTAAGGTTGTTTTCTGAACTAGATATTTCCATAGGAGTTGGCGGGATTCTTGGCCAAGAGTTGGGTTTTATTTGGCCAATTTTTGGGATAAAAAGTCTATTTTGATAATCTTAAGACTTTACGGAGATAAAAAAAAAAAAAAGGTTTCCGGTTGACCAGAAAAATCTTCTCTGGTTCTCGCGGGGCTTTTGAAGAAAGGCATCTCATTGGATGTCCTTTGTCTACAGCCCCAGGATCCCAAATTTTCGGTGGGTTTTTTTTGTGTGTTTTTTTAAAGGGTGTTGACGATCGGTGTTAAGAGGTTTAAAGATTTAAATTAAGAATCAAGAATTCATATAAAAATATGTTGGTACTAAAGTCAGACTTTGACATTTGAATATATAAACTAGTTAGATGCTAACGACTTTATCGATGACCGTTTAGTCATCGTCATCATCATCATCGTCATCATCGTCGTCATCATCATCGTCGTCATCATCGTCATCATCATCATCGTCGTCATCATCATCGTCGTCATCATCATCGTCGTCATCATCATCGTCGTCATCGTCATCATCATCGTCGTCATCATCTTCAGTGTTGATATCACCGTCAAGAACATCTTCAATCCAGTCTTCCAGTTCGTCCACAGTAGGCAGGTCCTCTTCATCATCCATGTCCATCCAAACACTATCAGCCTGCGGGAGGAACAAAGGATTCTGTTAGCTTTCAAAAAGTTGAGTAGTTTTCTGAACACCCTCTTAAAGCCGAACTCTAGGAATCCTTTTTCGTGTGTCCACATCACTGCCGAGGTGACATGGACCCTTCCTGTTAGCTGTCCATAGTCAGAGTGCTCTAAGGGTTATTTTATGAACTAGATCTTTACATAGGAGTTGGCGGGATTCTTGGCCAAGAGTTGGGTCTTCACTAGCCAAGAATCCCACCAGTTGGGTCTCCACTGGTTTAGGGCATCCTTTCTGCAGGACTCTGCAGGCCTCCCATGTGACAATGTTGACATCTTGGACTGAGTCACCCGCTCCCCATACCCTGAAGTACCAGGTATATTCACTGCTGAGGTGACATGGACACTTCCTATCAGCTGTCCAACGTCAGGGTCCTCTAAGGCTGTTTTCTGAACTAGATCTTTCCATAGGGGTTGGCGGGATTCTTGGCCAAGAGTTGGATCTCCATTGGCCAAGAATCCCACCAGTTGGGTCTCCACTGGCTTAGGGCATCCTTTCTCCCGGCCTCCCATGTGACAATGTTGACATCTTGGAGTGAGTCATGGGAGCAAGGGGTCTGAGTCACATGCTCCCCATACCCTGAAGTACCAGGTCTATTCACTGCTGAGGTGACATGGACCCTTCCTATTAGCTGTCCATAGTCAGGGTCCTCTAAGGTTGTTTTCTGAACTAGATCTTTCCATAGGGGTTGGTGGGATTCTTGGCCAAGAGTTAGGTCTCCACTGGCCAAGAATCCCTGCAGTTGGGTCTCCACTGGTTTAGGGCATCCTTTCTGCAGGACTCTCTCCTGGCCTCCCATGTGACAATGTTGACATCTTGGACTGAGTGAATGGAGCAAGGGGTCTGAGTCACATGCTCCACATACCCTGAAGTATCAGGTCTATTTACTGCTGAGGTGACATGGACCCTTCCTATTAGCTGTCCATAGTCAGGGTCCTCTAAGGTTGTTTTCTGAACTAGATCTTTCCATAGGGGTTGGTGGGATTCTTGGCCAAGAGTTAGGTCTCCACTGGCCAAGAATCCCTGCAGTTGGGTCTCCACTGGTTTAGGGCATCCTTTCTGCAGGACTCTCTCCCGACCTCCCATGTGACAATATTGACATCTTGGACTGAGTCATGGGAGCAAGGGGTCTGAGTCACATGCTCCCCATACCCTGAAGTACCAAGTCAATTCCTGACATGTCAAAATATACAGCAACAGAAGGGTAACCAGTCCCGGGACAAGGTCCTGCAGTACCCAAGGAGAAAAGGCCACAGTGCACCCAATAGTTGTGAGCTACCTCAGCATTATAGGTTGTACGTTCAGCTCCCCCACCCTGCTGAAGCCCTCAAGTCTTCTTTGGCCAAGATTCCCGCCAGTTGGGTCTCCACTGGTTTACGGCATCCTTTCTGCAGGACTCTCTCAGGCCTCCCATGTGGCAATGTCTCCAGCCCTCCCAGGGCCGGGCCTCCCCCTCGGCCCCGGCCCTGAGTGTTACACCAACGACCTACGTAGCATGCTGCACTTTCATATATTTGCTGCTAGGTCTACTTTCAGCATTTCCTATCCTAAACAGGCCGAAATTAGAGCTACGTGCACACAGCTGAGGCCTGACTCTTAAATGGCACAGCTGTCTCTTCTTCAGATTATGGCCGATCCCCAGCACGGCGCAGAGTCGCGCCACAATTCAGAGAAGACACGAGGCAGCGGGAGCCTGAGCCGTAATTATTCTCCGGTGAAAGAACACAATGGCGCTCGGGGATGAAAGGCCACCGAATGGAAAAGGATAATGGCAGGTGCAACAAAGGAAAATTGAGGAAGCTTTCATCAGGCACATGTAGGGGGGGAGCACAAAACCCGCCAAAAAATGTTCCGTCTCCGAGCGGAGGAGAATGAAAGACGCAAAGATGGCTCTGACTGCTTAAAAGGCCGTACGGTAGAACTTGGGAAGAGTGGGGGGATGGTGGGACGATTGTCATA